CACTTTATACTTTTTAGTTTACGATCATTCATAATGTCTAAATAACACAATTAAAATTAATAAAATATCCTAGCAACAGCTTGCGGTAGTCTGTTGTATCCATAGAGTAATCATAATATTTAGCTTATTAAACAATAAACTTTTGATTTCTAACCAAAATTTTTCGTGACGGGTGATAATCAAAGGCCAAAATGACATTCCTCGCAAATTATGAAGTATAATTAGTGGAAAAGTCAAAAGTTTGTTAACTGTTTCCACTAACTGAAAATTACTACCACTAATTATGACGTTCTGAATGCTTACATTAAAATTAGGTGAACAAACTTCTACGTCTAATTGAAATTACTAATTTATTTCACTGATTTCGAGGTTCTGAATGAAGCTTTAGTAGAAAAAGTTATCAAACTTTTAACTTTTCCACTAATTATACTTCAGAATTTGCGAGGAACGTCATTTTGGCCTTTGATTATCTTCCGTCAAGAGATACTGTGATTAGAAATCAAAAGTTTATAAAAGAAGAAATACAAACCCGAATTCAGAAAAGCAAACAAGTTATTGGATGTCTTAACAGCCTCTGGTGGGACCGAAACTTGTCTGCAACAACTAAAAAGAGACTTAAACCAAACTAAAAAGAGACTTGGAAGAACATTGGTGGAGTCAGTTCTTTGCTATGGTTCAGAGCTATGGACTCCAAGTTGTTGAAATGGACTACCTTAGAAGAAGTGCAGGTATATCTAGGATGGAAAAAAAACAAACATCGAGGTCAGGAGTATCATGAATGCATCAGAGGAAAGAGTACTGGACTGAATCGAAAAATCCAGCTTAAAATGGTTTGGACATGTTCTGCGTATGCCGGAGAACAGGTGGCCAAAAAAAGTTTTTCAATGGGCTCCCCAGGGCAGAAGAAAGAGAGGTAGACCTAGAAAATCCTGGAACGGAACGGTTACGGAAGCAATGGAAGCTCGTAACCTAGAAGCTGATGACGCTCTAAATCGAGATGTGTGGCGTAGGGTAACGGAAAGCCAGCAATAGACTAGTTGGAAATGAGTATTAAATACTTAAACCAAATCCCGTTTATATATATATATATATATATATAAATCAAAAGTTTATTGTTTTATAAGCTAAATATTAGGCTTTCTCTATGGATACCACTGACTAACCCAAACTGTTGCTAGGAACGGATATGGAATGGAAACGGAAGGTATAGTCTATAAAATGAATAACTTTGAATTTTGACCGTTATTTTTTACCAACATGGCAAATATAAAATCCCTCTGTGAAAGAAGTTACTGATATTCTTTAAATTGGGTGCCTGAACGAATCAGATAGGTAACTCTTTTTATTTTCGTGAAATAGAAAAGGAAAATAATAAAACGAGTGACAATTCTTCCTATTCTTGCAAAAATCAACTTTTCAGTCATCAGCTTTTGACATTTCTAGATATCAGACCAATGGTGTCTCTAATGGAACAGCCACGGAGCGAGATTTATGACGTCACGCTAGTTAGATACTACGGATTAATAAATATGTTGTAGAATACATGGAAAACATAATTATTCCACGTATTTTTGGTTTGTATTTTAAAAATGATATAGTTTACATGAAATATAGTTACTAAATACAATATATATATACCTATTTATAGTAATAAATACTTTGGCAAATAAACTATGAACCATAAAAATGCAGCAAATGTTTTACAATATACAAATATGCGGTCATCTTTTGACAAGTTTATATTAATTTATTAATTGCAGTAAACATTATGTGGTGTTAGGTTAGGATATGTTATATAGAATATTTTATATGTAATTTTTTTGGATTATATATTTCACACTATTTTTTTCATGACACAACACTGATAAAAGTTATAATATTAGCCGAAACGTTTTTTTTAAACCAAAAAAAAATTAAAACCCAAATTAAAACTTATCAGCGTGTTTCCCGAACCTAAATCCGAAGAAAATCAAAAATTTTAGAATAATTTTACATATAAAATGACAGCCATCTTTATTTCATAGCCATCGCTGACGCTTTTTTTTTCTATGATATTGTATTATTTGCAAATACAATTTTTCGAACATTGATACTTGCAAAATATAGATATAAATTTTATGAATACAAATAATAATACATCTCTATTAGCAGATATTGAATGTTGTTTGTTAAATTAGATCAATTTTCAAACCCCAAAATTTAAAATATATTTTACATTTTACCCATTATCTTATGTACCTATTCATTATTTGTATATTGTAAAACATTTGCTGCATTTGTATGGTTCATAGTTTATTTGCCAAAGTATTTATTACTATAAATAGGTATATATGTGTATTGTATTTATAAACTGTATATTATATATATTTCATGTAAACTATATCATTTTTAAAATACAAACCAAAAATACGAGGAATAATTATGTTTTCCATGTATTCTACAACATATTTATTAATCCATAGTATCTAACTAGCGTGATGTCATAAATCTCGCTGTGAGGCTGCTCTATTAGAGACGGCATTGCGTCAGCGTGGCCGCAAGTTGCTAACCTAATAAAATTAACACTAGAAAAGTCCGCGGGAACTGTCAAATTCAAAGTTATTCGTTTCACAGACTATATAGTGAGAATCAACCTTTATTCAGACGACTAGATTTTTAGAAATTGTGAGTGATTGGATCGTTGGAGGACTACTAAAGCTACAATTTATTTTCAAAAGGTAAAGAGTGTCCATAACAAATAAAAAATATAAAAGTTGTATTTTTATAGGGAACAATAAAAACCCGTACATTATTACATTATTATATTGGATTATTCCACTATTTGATCTCCAGATTTTCCAGGCGTATCCGTTTACAAAGTCCAGCAATTTCGATATGAACCTTATAGCTCTTTGCCAATAGCGTATATATCACAAGAGATAGTTAATTTGTGACAAGAGCATCACATTTTTTAGGCTAACGGACTCACATTGAATATTCCCGCAACTTTTTTTGTGATTAACGCAATGGCTTCGTCTATTAAGTCCAAAATTTGCATTTTCTATGTTTCCAGCGACGATGCACCACCCGGTATATTTATGTATATACATTATTAATATAAAAAGTATATGATGGTAAAAATTGTAAAATAATAGTGTTTATTTTATCATAAGCCAAAAAATACCTTTTTTCTATAGCAATTGTTAAAATTGCTTTATATCTATCATAAATAGTAGATAAAATAGTACCTACTTTAACCGCAAGGGTAGATTAAATGATACTTTAACAGCGAGGATACTAGATTAAAAACTTTATTTCTTCTCGCACGTTTTTTAATTGCTTCTATTTTTGAAAATGTTTGTATTCCTTTTCATAAGTTATTCGGGATTTAAATGGAAGTAATTTGGATATGACGTTTGTCGCCTCAGCCTGAATACCTGTTGGTAATTCACTTATTTCGTTTTGAGCCATTTCTGGCTCCAATTCGATCAGCAATCGACACGAAAGAGATTTAAAAAATATTGACTCAAAACTGACAACTCAAGAGACAGTGAGAGACAGCTTTATTTATTTGTCAAACTAGATAGAAACCAACGCCAACCCAGCACAATATTTTTTCTATTCGTAATAAATTCCTTGAAATAATATTTTCTGAATATTTTTTAAAACGTAACTCTCTATGGAAAAAAATATTGTTTTATACACGACGATAAAATTGCATTATCGTCTCCCGAAATTAATTTACTTGCGATTTCATCGCTCGTGAATTAATCTTTTCGGTCGACGATAAAATACCATTTTATCGTCTTATATAAAAAATAACTATACCTAAATAATAAAATATTGCCTAACCTAACATAACTTAACTGATTATTAATTTTTCATAATTGATTGATGTAAAAAAATCTATAATATTAATAATTAATTCACAATTTATTTGAAATTTTTAATTTCTTACTTTAAAAATTTACCTCTAAAAAATTATTAGTCAAATTAGAAATATAAACAGTGATTATTTGTTTCATTTAGATTAGAATTTTGGGCTCGATAAATAAAATGAATGAATTACTATAAACTGGAAAATAAAACGAATAAACTAACCTTATTACTATAACCCTTCTAATAATATAAATTAAAGCCTTATAATTTGGGGAAACGATTAAAAATACATTATTTGTTATAAGCCCCAGCTCTTATAAAGGTATTATTAATATGTAATCAACTTTTTAACAATTAAATTGTCTGTAAATCTGTTTCAGCATGCTTGTTGCAGTGGCGACTCAGGAGAATGGGCAGAGAGCACAGCCTCCACAAGAAAGAATAAATATCTACTATTTTTAGTATATAAAGTCCATCCAGTTATGTACTTATTTCATTTCTTGAAACTTTACGATTGTGTGGACATGTGCCCCTCTGCCCTTTTAGATCAACTGCCACTGGCTTTTTAGAAAAAAAATACTTACTATTAAATTTTTGGCGTAACATTTCAAATTTATTATTTCAGACCAATAACTATTCAGTCCAAGCATCTTAAGAACCATTACTCATAGCGATTTTTACCGAGAGACCTTTTTTACGTAAAAAATTACGTATGTGAATAAAATGTATATTTTTTTAGTCAGTAATGTAATACAGGTACGGACGAAAAGTTATTACTTTTCAAAACATTAGGTAAACCAAAATATGTAGGTAGCGCCCCCTGGAAGTAGGATTCGCAGTGACATCTAAATATAATGTCTCATGTCAAAAAACACGCATACACCAATTTTCATCTAAATATCGGCGTTTGCTCAGAAATTATTTGGAAAAAATCGTAATCGTAAGAAAAATTAAATTTCTTCACCCTATAAGTATCTCTGAAAGGAAGCATTTTAGGACATAAAATTAACTTTTTTACTTATGTTTATAGGCAGAATATGCTGACGAAGTTTCACGAATATATTTGGGACCACCCTGTTTAGTGTTCGTTGTAAATATATCTGAAATGTATGATGTTAATAACATATTGTACTTTTTTTCAGATACGTATTTGGACATTCAGTTACAAAGGACAGCACATAAATAAAGTAAGTAATGAATTTCCATAAGATAAATTATTGACAAAATGGTGGATACGCATTTAAATCTAACTCTCGATAATTTGACACTCGTTAATTTGAATATCTCGATATATTGAAGTCCTTTAAGAAAATACATACTCGATAAATTGAAAAAATTTAATATAATTTCATTGACAATTTGAATGAATTCTTGCTCGCCGAAGTTCTATAATTTGAAGTGAGAGCTTCCTTACTCTCCATAATTTGAACTCGACATTTTATAATTTGAAGAAATCCCATATTAGTAATACATATTATGTTATATTAGTAATACATATTAGTATTACATATGTACATAATAAAAAATATTAATTTTTAACAAACTCATATTTATTTGAATTTACCCCAATTTCCTCTTGATTATTTGAACTTCTATTATTTTGAACTCTCTTTATATTGATTTTGTTTCCTGGTCCCTTGAGTCTCAAATTATCGAGAGTCGACTGTAATACAATTATTTGTTTTTTTTTTTATATCTCTCACATGGTTATACAAAGTCTTACAATAGTGTATCGGGCATATCTAGTGCTCATATAATAAAGGACTTTACAGTACTTACTTACGTTTTGTACAGGGTATCTCTAAAAAGTGGATGAGTTATGGACGTTTTTTAAAAAAAATGTAAAATTGTTTCGATAGTTCCAGTTTCAATTAATAAATAAATATAATCTATTTTGCAGCGTTACTGAAAGAAATAAATCAAAATACTTATTACATTCTAAATTATAACAACATTGCGTAGTGTATGTGATCGTAACGTAAGATTATGTGATCAGGCAAAAACCTAAAAATGTAGTAATATACAAGGTATTTTATTATAAAATTGATCATCACCCAGTTCTTTGAGATGCCCTGTAATGTACAGGGTGGGTCAAATTAGACGCTTTTAAAGGGAAATATCCTTTTCTATAGAAGATAGACGAAAACCAATATCGGTGTCTGGAGCTCAATTTTTATCAAAAACATGATGGTGAAAACCGTGCATCGATATCTGTTACGATTTCGGAGTTACAGGGTGTTTATCAAAAATGTCCATTTTTAACAAATCGTTGTAACTTTTTTGCTATGGAAAATTTTGTATTTTTGTGAAAACATTTCCAAGGAACCTTTTTACGTAGAATTTAATGATTTATGTATATATTTTTTTAATTAATAATTTAAGAATTATCAACAGAAAATTTGATTTTTTAAATGGGACACCCTGTATATTTTTAATTTATTGAATAGAATTTAAAATTACCTTTCCAAAAATATAGCATACTTGATATTTTGCTAGATTCCTCTTCGAGATTTTGATTGCTCTTAGAGTTTTTAAAGATTCGCCAGCTTTGAATAAGTAGGCTTTGAATGGCGCCGGTTGTAACGCAAAAGAATTCTAGCTGCGAGCAGCAATTAAAACAAAAATGATATTTTCAATGAGAGATGCAGAATTTTATAACAATTTAAACTATATTTTGTTAAATATAGTTTAAATTGTTATAAAATTCTGCATCTCTCATTGAAAATATCTATTATATATAAAAAGATTATTTATTGATCAAATATTGTGTTGCAATAATAGAAATTTTACTACCTTATACAGAGTGTCCAAAAATTTATATTAAATAATGACTAGCTTTAAACGGCAAAAACTTGTTTAGATTAAATGGAACACCCTGTATGTTTTACGTGCATCATATGCAAAATTTAATTGTCTATCAAATTTTATTATACCATTTTTTACCTATCTAATAATAATAATAATAATAATAATCGTCATAAAGTCTGGCCGGCAAGGGTACCGTAGCCAGCAGTATACCTACCGCTATCGTATGCGGAAACGGTACTGCCAGTATCGCCAGCTGTCCGCTGACCTATCCTAACCTCCTATCTTTCCACGCTCTCCTAAAATTCCACTTACCCTTATCCTGTCAACCTTCCCCAACCTGGCAGTTAGGTATAAAATGCAACCAAACCTATGGTAAACATGGTGAATACAAGAAATAAACGATATTCTCAGGGCGAGGGGGGACAGCGGGCTGGTCCCCTTCGGAATCGTCCAATCCGCAGCCTGTCGAGGGTGTCAGCATGGCGGGTGATGCTGCCCCGAGATCTACACTCACCCAAACGCAAGAAATAGGACATCCTCCATCTTCAAGTGCTGAACCGGACACACCTGTTCCCACCGAAGATGGTACGAACCCAACGGTACGTCGCAAGAAATGGACCAACGCCGAAAACAGTGAAATCATGCGACTGTACTATAAAGTTACTAACCTGGAGACGGACTTTACAATGTACCGTGGCAAATTGTATGCACAATTTATAAAGGTTTTCCCAAACCTTAAACACTTAAGTGAGCAACGCATCGCAGATCAACGCAGGACCATAGTAAGTAGGAATCTTCTTTCTCAAGAGACACTGGCCAGAATCAAGGAACAAATAAGACTAGAAATCAACCCAGAAACAACTATTGACATACCGCCACAACCACCGCAGAGCGAAAGCATACGTGAAGCTGAGACAGAGACTGCACTACCGACAGAGATTACACTACCTACCGAACAAACCCAATTGGATTATCTATACGAATCAAACCTAATTAAGTTTTATGGCTCCAATCCCAACCTCAGACCATCACTTCCGAAAATAAAATACACAGCACAAACAACAACAATCATCGAGAGAGTTAACGCTATCCTATGTGATAAACTGAAAACCAGTTTCAATTTAGAAGAAATACATGTACATATATACTGTGCGGCCCTAACTTGTCTTACACAAAATGGTCAAGATGTAGCCCAACGTCCTAAGGAAAATAAGAAACCTATACCACCCTGGGAAAAAAGAATGTCTGACAAAATCAGCAGATTACGTAGAGACATAGGTCGCATGCAACAACTTTCTAAAGGAAACGATAGTGAAACCCTTTTAAAGAAGATATCAGAAGACATAACGACTAGATTCCGTCAACTAAGCGGCCAAACCCAGAAAGACTTTGTTATCGATACTCTAAATTCATTAAAACAACAGCTAGCAGTACATACAGACAAACTCAAACGGTACAAACGAAGCCACCTACGACGGATGCACAACGCCCAATTCACCCAAAACGAGAGGTGCTTCTACCGCAACCTTGGAAATAAGGCAAATAAAGAAAACCCCCAACATCCAAATGCCATAGACTCAAACCAACTAAATCAATACTGGAACAACATCTGGTCGTCTCAAGGAGAGCATCAAATAAATGCCGCATGGATAAACCAGGAGCGTGAAAAACATCAGAACGTAAGAATGGAAGACACAATAATTACCTTGCGCGACGTTGAAAGTGCAATAAAAAAATTACCTAATTGGAGAAGTCCAGGGCATGACGGAATTCACAACTTTTGGCTCAAGAAATTTTCCGCTACTTACAACCACCTAGCGAGAGAATTTACTGAAACTTTGATTGACCCCAATAAAATGCCCGTCTTTCTAACGGAGGGAATTACTCACCTTCTACCAAAAACAAAAAACCCAGATAATCCTTCCCAATATCGACCCATCACCTGCCTTCCATCAATTTATAGGATATTTTCAAGCTGCATTAGCAGTAAAATATATACCTACCTGGTCACCAATAACATCCTACATGAAGAGCAAAAAGGTTGCAAAAGCAGGGCAATGGGCTCTAAGGAACAGCTTGTAATGGACTCGGTGGTTTTGTAGCAAGCCAGACATAACAAAAGAAATCTCTTCATGGGCTATATTGACTATCAGAAAGCGTTCGACTCCATACCACACAGCTGGCTGTTGCAAGTTCTAGAAATCTGCAATGTTGACCCCAAAATCTGCCGATTCTTTAAAGAGATCATGCCTTCATGGACGACCTCCCTCAACCTCAGGTCTGCTCCCTTTGACATAACATCGCCAAAAATTCCAATTCGTAGAGGGATATTCCAAGGGGATTCTTTTAGCGCCCTTTGGTTTTGTCTAGCCTTAAATCCACTATCGCGGATAATCAATGAAACAGGTTATGGATTCTCACTACGAACGAGAAACAGACGTCATCTCATTACACACCTACTATACATGGATGACTTGAAGATATATGCTGCAACAAAAAACCAACTTGAAAACCTTCTGCGTACCGTTCATAAAATCAGCGCAGATATTGGAATGACCTTTGGTACGAGCAAATGTCAGACTGTTTCAATCATAAGAGGAAAACTATGCGAAACACCAGAATTGAATCTAGATGAGAAAACTATTATCTCCGCAATGTCGACTGAGCCGTATAAATATCTTGGAATGCTACAAACACACAAAATAGAACATGGAATTATTAAAAACCGCCTATCGACCGCCTTCCGACTGCGACTTACCTCCCTTCTAAAGACAGGTTTGAATTCTAAGAACCTCTTTAAAGCAATAAACACTTATGCCCTACCGGTTCTTACATATTCTTTTGGAATAGTCAAATGGACCCATACAGACTTGGAATCCCTAAATCGCCTGGTACGAACAACCTTAACCAATTTAGAAATCACCACCCAAGAAGCGCTACGGAACGGGTGACCCTCCCTCGAAATCTTGGAGGTAGAGGTTTACTGGATGTTGTTAATGTCTGTCGGGAGCAAATAAAGAGCCTCAGAGAATACTTTTATACCAAGAACAGCAACCTTTACGTCACGGTGTCTTCAGCTGATGTCAAATACACCCCCTTGAACCTCAGTAGAAACAATATGGTGCTTTTCCAACTCCTACATCAATCACTAATAAAATAGCTACTTGGGGAGCCAAGGAGTTACACGGACGGTACCTAAATGAGCTAGATCAACATCACATTGAAAAGGTGGAATCATTGCACTGGTTAACATCGGGTTATCTCTACTCAGAAACCGAGGGATTCATAGTGGCTATGCAAGACCAAGTTATTCCAACACGCAACTACCGGAAACTCATCCTAAAGGAGAATATATCAGACAAGTGCCCTAGATGTGATT